GGGGGAAGGGGGAGGCTGGGAAGGGATGTGAAGGGTAAACAAAGGAGGAGGCTGCAATGCTGAGTAAGAAATGTACGCATTATCCTGCCCATGTATTGTAACCCCTCTGTACAGTATGTTCACAAATAAAATAAAATTAAAAAAAAAACTTAAAGAAATGTACTCATTACCTTGCTCATGTAATTGTAACCCCTCTGTACGATATTTTCACAATAAAAAACTTATTAATAATAAAAATTTAAAAAGATAGGATTTTAGAAGAACATTATAAACAATAAAACATTAAAACATGGACCAGTTACTACAAAAAGTTTGACTATAATTCTGCTTGAGTATTTCCAGTGTATGGTTCAATTTTAATGTTTGGCAAAAATGGACCATTTATTATTACAAATGCTATTATTTAGTATAATTTTAATAAATAATATTGTTATTATATAGTAATAACACAAATATTACATCTTACTCAATGCGGTATTAATTATTCACCTGAATTAAATTGTTTGCATTACAATGTAATGTCTAGGAAGTTAGCACGGATAACCTATTAGGTTTTACAGAGGCAAGAATAGTAAATCTTCCACATTTTCTTTCAAGGTAGCTCAGAAATCAATTCTAACTAGAACACGTACACCTGAATTATGTGTTTATCATGGAGAACTAGTATGTCTACAACTTATCTCTTTCTCCTAAATCACTCCTTTTCTCATAATTACTGTTTTTTGCTTATTTACCTCATTTTGTCATTTCCATTGTGTGAGTGTATGTGGGTTCATGTACATGACTCTATTGGAGTGCTATTTATAGATTTTTATTACACTTCTTACTTGTTACTGGATAAATATCTCTAGAGCTAGAGTATAAATTTATTTTGCTATTCACTGTTTTATTTACAGTACTGGACACATTCTTTCACAGAATTTAATCTATCAGCATCCTGTTAAGATTGAGTCTTTAAATTATTTTCTTCAGTGAAGTAATCCTCGAGTTGTAATACTTTTTAGCTAAATTAAGGCCCCACTCTTAGGTTCAGATTAAGCTGGTCTTACCTGTGCATCAGCATGCATGATTTTAGGGTTGGCTTGTCCAAGTCAGGAGATGTGGGAACTGTTGTCACTGCACTCATACATGAAGAAGTGGCTTTTCCTGAATCTCAATACCATCAAGGTCACATCCATATTATGGGATAAATGGTTTGAAATTAAAAGGAACTAATAATATAAAGGAGACACTCCTGCAACCATGCATTATGACTGTTAAAATCTGGACATGCATCAACTTATTAGCTTCAAATACTCATATACACATACACATATATAAGCCTACAAATATATATTCATATGCATATGCATATACACAGGAGTCAGCTACAATGTATTTATAGGTTGCATATCCGGAGAAGTTTCTGTTTTTGAATATTATATTGTCCTTTAGATTTTGCTAGACAAACAACAAATGTTCTTAAACTCTCCCATAATTTTGTTAATGTGTTGATTAACATTTTGATTTTAGAGACTGTTTAAATGCTGTATCATCATCTCATCTAGGAGAGATAGGAGGTAAGTAGAGAGAGAAGCAGTAGGAAATTAATTCTTTCTATGAAAAAGAATTTTGAATTCATGCTCTATGAAGTCATGATATAAAGTATGTCCATATTTTAGCATTGCAAAATACATGCATGTATTGTCATATGAAAAGGTAGCAAATGAACATGCTCTTATATGATTTCAGAAATGACCACAAATCAGTAATTAATGAAGTTATTGTGAAGTTACTATTTCAACATTAAAAAAAGTATCTTAAATATTAAACTGTCCTGTGATATTTTAATTATATTTCAATCACATTCATTTCAATTATTCAATATAGATAATATATATGGATTATTCAATATAGATAATATATATGCACAATATTTGAAACAGGATAGACTTTGAATATCGAAGAGTAGATTAGAAACTAATTTCAATAACACTCATTAAAATTGTGCTGATTAGTTATATGCAATTGCTTTTATGAATTATCTCCAGACTTCATATGTATAAAATAATTAAATGTAAGATAAAGACATAGTAATAAATTAATATTTCACTGATATTAATGAAAAATGATGATAATCTATTAGCTTTTTATTTCATAAAGTATTTTTAATTTGGGAGTCATGTGACCATGTAATGATAATATTGAGAAAACATAATATTGATCTATATCAGTTTTTAGAAACTGGAAACATAAATGATTTTCTTTAAATTTTTTGTAATTGGATGATATTTCACAATCCCAAACCTATAGTTAACTGCAGAACTAAACTTGTTTTAGACAGAATGAGGTCACGCTTACCTATTTCAACCAGGATTAAATGAAATACTTAGCCTTTATTGACTTCATAAAGTATGTAAAAGTAAAAAGATTTGTTTTAAGATCAGGCAAATTGCGTTAGGTGAAATGGTATCTTAAATGTATTTTTGTCAGAACAAAAGATGTTCTTTATGTACAAAGTCTTCTTTGCCCTGGGGATCACCAACTCCTATCCCATGTCACCTTCTAATTGAACTAGGCCATTCTGCCTGTCACTTAGGGAGTTTGGCACCACGACCAAAATGTGTATAGCCCTAATATTAGTTTTACCATTTCTCAACCTCGCTTTTTCCTTGTGATCATAAAAGTCAGGGAAGGAGTGGGTTGAAGTGGGAAGGCGAGAATGTTGGCACTGATCAAGAAGCATTGTATTCATAAACTGGTTGGTTAAACAGTGATTCTTGTATATTACTGCTTTAAAAATAATTAATTAAACCAAATATATAAAAACAGATCTTCAAAATACTCTTTAATACGATGAAATTTTGCAATATCTTAAACTAGAATCACTGAACACTGAAATGTCAGTGTTGTAAATTAGTCCAAACAGTTTTCTGATCTCCAACATCAAGTTTTTATGCCACAAACACACGCTAGCCAGGCCGAGACTATCATCCCCCAGAATATGGATGAGGAGATGAAGTAACAGACAGGCACTCTTACTTATTCTCTTTTAGGTATACAAACTGCACAATTCTCATATACCTATTCCTGTAAACTTTAATCACTAGTACATACCAAGCTGGAAGAAAGGCTACAAAGGGTTAATGCCCTGAAGAATTGCCACAAACCCAGGTAGGACTCACTATTTCCTTTAATAACGGTCCTCAGCTGTTTAAGTATAAGTTGAAAGTAGGAACTATATCAAATGAGCAATCCAGGACTATATCCAGAATTCACTATCCTCATTCATTTTCAATTACTAT